GTCTACGCCAATCAAGAAGAAGAAGAAGTTGCCGCTGACTTATAGTTTTAAAGATATTTGCGTTTAAAGATAAAAAATTTACAACTTTTAAATTGATAATTTGTTTATTGTGAATAACTTTCCACTTATATTATGCACTTTTCACTTACTAACACTTCACTATAACGTTTTTGTATATAAATTTTTTTAATATTTATTGCAAATAAAGCTTTATTTTTATTTATTTTGTTTTAGTTAAATTCACTGCATTTGCACAACAAGAATAGGGTTGCATACTAGCAAATAAATGGTATTGCCATATCTGCCTAGTTGTCAACAAAAGAAAAAAAGCTAAAGCATTATACCCCAAATACCTGAAAAAAATTTTAATATAAAAAATATTTTGTCATAAATAAAAACAAAAGCAAATTTAAGGTTCTTTTGTATGTTTTATTGCTTGTAAAAGCTTTTCAAATTGATCTTCATGGTTTCTTCGAATGGTTTTACGCCACAGATACTCAATAATTAAATCTGCAAAGTTGTGTTGGTTAGAGAAATTGTCTTTTAAAAAGAACCTTTTGATGACACGCCACTGTGACTCAATTCTTTGAGTGTGTGTCCCGTCAGGGGCGACAAAGGGATTTTCCGGATCACTATGATTGACCCTTCGGTGCTCATACCCATGATCGGAAAGGCAATTATATGCCCTCCAAAAGTCGGGACATATAATTGACCCTTCCGCCACGTGCTTCTTGATAATAGGTATGAGCACCTCAGCAGATCTAACATTCTCGTGACACACTACCAATCTCAAGTCCTCGCTCCCATCCTCTACCATGCCCAGTACCCAGAGTCCTTCAACTCTTCTACCTGAAATATGAGAAAATAAGTTAGTACCTAAAATTTTATACAATATATATAAGAGTTATTACCTTTATTGTATTTTCGTTTTCCAAACTTGCTTTCATCAATTTGTACAATTTTTCCGGGACCACCAATTTTTTCCACAGCCTTTTCATGGTCAATTTGATACAGCACAACGGCTTCTCGACAATAGCTGTACCAATCGCATATTGTGGCTGTTGACAAAATAGCTATAAAGCTGTTTTTCCGGACTTCGGTCTGGCACCAATGAGAAGCGTATGCGAACATCAGATAAAATATCTGAGGCAATGGTATCTTCGCATTTTCAAACCAAGTCCCTTTAGCCCTCGATACCGCAGCCAGCGAACGGCAACTACCTCTACGGCATCTTAAAGACCCCACCGTATTATTCCCCGATAGAGTGGGGATCATGGGTTTTTTATGCGTGCGGCACAATTTATTGCTTAAAATTAAGCCCTCTTCTTCCGCAAAAGCAATGCACTTCTCCCTAGTGCTAAAGGGCTCCACAACTTTCGTTATGTTCCACATTTTTCGTAGTTCTGCAACGGTAAGAACACTTTTACGTACACCGCGGCTGGTGGAAGGTTTATCGAAATCTAGAGAGAATACTTAATTAAAAATTTACAAATATTTGATAACATACCTGATCGTTGTGCACACATTTTGCAATTTTTCTTTTTTTTAATAAAACACCAAATTGAAGGAATGAAAATATATAAAAATCACTAACCACACTTGCTAATTGCTTCGCCAAATTTAAAAGCAAAAGCGAAACAAAAAAAAGAAACGGTACTTAGTTGGGAAACTAACAGTACAATTGTTCCTGGAATTATTCCCGTTAAAGAAAATGAAGCGTTAAAACGGGCCCTTCACGGTATTGCAACTTTTTATAATGTTCAGAGTTCTTTCGCGTAGAACTCTATTCTGCACTGGCGGCCTTCGGCCGCGCTTCAAAAAAAATAACCCTGGCCGATCCAAAACCGGGGTGTTCAGAGTTCTTTCGCGTGGAACTCCCTTCTGCACTGGCAGCCTTCGCCCGCGCTTCAAAAAAAATAACCCTGGCCGATCCAAAACCGGGGTGTTCAGAGTTCTTTCGCGTAGAACTCCCTTCTGCACTGGCGGCCTTCGACCGTGCTTCAAAAAAAATAACCCTGGTCGATCCAAAACCGGGGTGTTCATAGTTCTTTCGCGTAGAACTCCCTTCTGCACTGGCGGCCTTCGGCCGCGCTTCAAAAAATATAACCCTGGTCGATCCAACACCGGGGTGTTCAAAGTTCTTTCGCGTAGAACTCCTTTCTGCAACTTTTTTTTTATAAAAAATTGCTAAAGGTTTTTGGCGTTTTCCTTTTATGTATTTGGGGTATAAAGTTTAAAGATATAAAGAACATATCTTTTGTTGACAACTAGGCAGATATGGCAATACCATTTATTTGCTAGTATGCAACCCTATTCTTGCAGTGCAAATGCAGTGAATTTAASWWAAACAAAATAATTGAAATAAAGCTTTATTTGCARTAAATATTAAAAAAATTTATATACAAAAACGTTATAGTGAAGTGTTAGTAAGTGAAAAGTGCATAATATAAGTGGAAAAGTTATTCACAATAAACAAATTATCAATTTAAAAGTTGTAAATTTTTTAACTTTAAACGCAAATATCTTTAGAGATATAAGTCAGCGATAACTATATATATATATTTTCGTGATCTGGAGAACGTCACCTTTCCAGTGATACCCATTTTATCCTCGAAATCCGGGGATGCTATTCTAAATCTCAGCCGATTTATGGTAAGTAAAAGTGGTTTACTTTAAAGATTGTAGTTTAACTTATGATTTTTTAATATTTTCTGCATATGCATATTGAAAAAGTGGAAACCTGAGAGGAAGAAATTACTTATAGAAATAAGATTGAAGTATGAGCCAGATTTCGTTGCGAAAAAAAAAGAGGAACACACTTTGGGAGCAAAATTGCGGGATGTGAAGGAAATAGATAACACATTCCCATTCTCCAAGGACGAAAGTACCAGATGTTTTGTTAATATAATGGGCACCTACAAACGAATAAAAAACCCCAACAACATATCTGGGGAACTCGCAACAAATTGGGAATTTTTGCAGACATTGGATGAAGTTTTGGGCAGCCGCAGTAGTGTCTTTGTGCCTGATGCCATGCTGGAATCTTCCCTTGAGTCCTTAAGGCAAGATTTAAGTAATGATCCACCTGATAGCCCTACGGTGCTGGACTTAGATGCAACATTACTTAGTACTAGCACTCCCTGAAATAAACTAACAAGAAAAGCAATGGGTTAGAGTTTTTAAACAAGGAATCGGAAGAAGATGCCAAAGTTATGAAGAAATTGCTGGACATGGAGGCAGAGAAGCTAGGAGTGGAAAAAGAAAAATTGGTCGAATTGAAAGAAATTCGTACACTGTTCTAGAAAATACTCGACAAATCATAGAACTCAAGTATGTTTTACGTTTAACCTTGAATGAATTTTTCATTTTAAATTTTAAGAGCAAAATCAATTGTTTTTTGTTTATTTTTTGTTTCTATAAGTGTTCATTATAACTAAAGGTGTTCACTATTACTAAACCTTTAATGGTAGTGCAATTTGTTTTTCAATAYGAATAAAGGTTTAGTGATAATGACATTTTTTCCACTATCACTAAATTTTCAGTGATAATGGATTTTGCTGTTTAACTACCACTGAAGAAATAGAAACCKTATTGTACTTATTTTTTATTGTACTATGCCCAACCCTGATAACAAGTATGTAAAGTGTAACATAACACTCACAAAAAAATATACGCAGAGAAATATTTACTNTACAAAATACAGAATCAAGAAGAATGCAACAGGTTATCAATTATCAAATCGATGAACACCAGTAGTAACATGAAACACTAGTGCCATAATTTCGCAAAAACAAAAAAATAATAATAATCAAAAACAATCAAAAGTAATCTTCGAAAGTAGTCAAATTATTTTTCGATTACTTTTTATTATTTCTGATTATTTTTTCCAAATTTTTATTAATCTTGACTATTTTCCGATTATCTGTAATCGTAATCAATTAGTAATCGTCCGAACCTGAAATAATCGTAATATAATCATTACTTCACCTTTCAAAAGAAAAAAATCGAATTACTAATTATTATGATTAGTAATCATTACTTAACAGCTTTGCTTTAAAGTCTAAACTGTTTTCAATTAGGCAGACAATAGCGTGGCCAGTGCATCCCTTTTTGCTTCTGCCTCCCTTTGTCCCGATGTAGTCGTATCTTCGACTATTTGGGGCTCAGGATGTGCTTTTTCTTCATCTATTTCATCGAGCCTTCATTTTCAATTATTTTGTTATGAAAAATCATGCATACCATTGTAATTAATTTTGGCATATATGGACGTTGAGCTTCGATGTATTTGAGAATTCTAAATTTTTTTTAAACACCAAATGCCTGTTCCACAACAACGCGAGTTGAAGACAGAATCGCATTGTATTTTGACTGCATTGGTGTTAAGAACCCGTTATCACGATGGGGCACCATAAGGAACAATTCTAATGGATACCCTCCATCACCCAACAAATGGTAATTTGAACAGATTTTAATCTCCTTGCTAATTATAGCTTTCCTGACAGACCTCCTTTTCCAAACTGATGCGTCGTTCATGCACCTGGACAGCCGATAAATGCATCTATAAACCTCATTCGACTATCTACAATAGCCTAAAAAAAATATTTCCAGTTAATAATTATTATCATGCAAAAAAGTTAATTTTTTACCTGTGTAATGATTGAATACGTTCCCTTTCGGTTGCGATAGCTGATTTCATCTTTGATTGGTTTCGAATTTGGAATATGAGTTCCGTCGATGCATCCAATTACAAAAGGAAAAGGATTATACCGCAGTGTAAATTCTTCATTTACTTGTTTTTGTTCCGCTGCAGTTTTGGGAAATTCATTACATCTCCCTTCAAGCGGCAAATCATTTTAATTATTTTCAGAAACACCTTATGTGCGAGGCCAGCTGCCACACCAAACCGATCGCTGACATCTCTGAAAGAGCAATTATTGCTTAGMTTCCAAATTGTTATTTGTAAAGCTTTTTTCAACGTTATTGCTATACGTCCAGTTTCACTTGAATTAGGGCTTAATCGCAATCTGCAACTTCTTTACATTTGGGGTATTAGTTTTATCAACTTACTCAATACACTACGTATTTTATAATAAATACCTGAAATGTACTTTTCTCATTCGAAAATGAGAATAAAATACATCGTCTTCCATGCTTTCGATAACCTTACAAAAATTTCTGGTTTTTGGAATTCTTCTCCGTGAATTTTCGCTATTTATTAATGCAAAACGACGGCGTTTTCTTTTGTTTATTATATTCTAGATAACACTGTTGCTTGATTCTCTATTATCGGCCAATTCCGAGGCTGTTTTCAAAAGAATACAGCAATATTCGTGGACATACATTTAAAAAAACTTTGTTGTCGAATAAAGTAATGTTAGTGATGCAAGGTGATGCAAGTAAAATGCCAACAATTTATTTGACAAAACAGTGTTGCCATGCAATATTGCTTTGCATTGTAAATGAATTTCTTTGCAGTGTTGCAATGCSAACTGCGTTTATGAAGTCAGCCATCCTTTCATACCGACCACTGTAATAGACACATGCGACTCGTTTGCGGTATTGGGCAAGGTTGACTACTCAAAGTTGTTGTTTGGGCAATTGGGTTGAAATACCTTTTCTAGGTGATATATACTTCATGTAAATACGAGTATAAAACAACAAAATTTACAGCTCTACAAAAATTTTATTACGAGTAATATAATACAATAGTAGTTTTTAAAAAATCATTTGTATGTGAGAACAATTCCAATTCAAATCAAGAAATAATCCCTTATGGGGTTGACGAATAAGTAATGTATGTGCAAATCTATTCACATATATAATATATGACAGAATCTTTGCGAATGGTAGGCACCTTGCCGCGGTGCAGGGGCGTAGGCGCAAGGCATACTCGACGTTCCCCAACTTGCGTGGATGGTGCTGATAAGCACTGCTCATGAGGGATGTCGGGTGTCGCCTGCGTGCGCTAACCAAGAGTTACCACCTCTTAATCCAGGGTGTTACACGATTCCAGTGCCCATTGGGTGATTTGCAGCCAGGAGGTAAATTCTTCTGTATTCTAACGGAGCCTCTCTAACACCGGGCTGAATTGGGGAGAAACTGTGGCCTTACCGCGTTAAAATACTACAGGTTCAGCACGGTGGTCCCGCGGCCCCACAGGCTTGCAGCCATCGGGAGCAAGGAAGCTGCAACGTCTGCGACTCTCCAAAACAAGATCTTCGAGAAACAGGCAGTATCTGTGGCTGCCCCGGAGGTAGCAGAAATGCAGGTGGACAAGCAGGACTGAGCAGGCAGTGCAATCACCGACGTCCCCGATGTCGGCCAATGTGATCAGACAGCAGACCTACCCTCCACGCAGAAGCTCCTCGACGGCTTAGGAGACCCAATGGATATCAGTACGATGGACGACGGGGAAAAGGATCTACCCTTCCTCGAACACATATTATAATGGCCGTCAATACGGAGATTGCTCAAGTGAACCTACATCACGCTGCTGCAACCTCAGCTGTCATAACAATCAGGTTAACAGCTGAGAAACTGGGCATACTGCTGATCCAGGAGCCTTGGGTCCACAGAGGAGAGGTCAAAGGCCTCAAGGCGGAGTCAAACAAGGTAATCTAAGATCTCTCTAGCGAGAGACCTGGAACTTGTATAGTTGTCAGGAATAACATAGATTTCTTCTGTATTTCAGAGTTCCCTACTAAGAACTGGTGGCGGTACAGGCCAGGGACTTCGAAGGCAAGGACTTCATCCTGGCTTGAGCATATTTCCCAGGGGAGGCATCTGAGGTAATAGGTGAGTCTTTTTTAGAGAATATAGTAGGTAGCAACTTAGTGATAGAGAATGTAGGGTGTGAACCCATATTCATAACTGTAAGCAGGAGGGAGGTGCTAGGCATCGCCTTAAGCAATGAGCCTGCAGCAGGATTGGTCTCGCAATGGACGTAACCCTCGGAAGGCGAATTGGGACGCCTTCAGGGATATTTTAAGTAATGAATTAAGCACGAGGGGGCAAACTGACGATAGCGTTTCAGGTCCTGGATTGGAGATTAGGCTATCTGAGCTGAACGGGTAATTAACGCTTATCATGGCAGTTGCCCCTAAAAGTGCTCACAGACAGACGAAATTGTCCTTGGTGGTCAAAGGAACTAGCAGACCTCCGGAAAAAAGTACGCAGCCTGTTTAACAAAGCGAAACGTACGGGAGTCTGGGCAGAATACAGGAGCTATCTCATCTTATACAATAAGGAGATCAGGTCTGCAAGGCAGGCTAGCTTCAGGAGATTCTGTGAAAATGTCGCCACTACGCCAGAAGCGTCTCTACTGCACAAAGCTCTGACCAGGGGCACAAAGAACGTGAAAATAGCAATCAAACGCGGCAACGGGATATTTACGACAAGTGCGGGGGACAGAGCCACGGAACTTCTGCGGGCACACTTCCCGGAGACAGTTCGGGAGGACCAAGGTCTATCCGTGATCGAACACAGGCCATCACGTGTGGATTGGAATATCGCCAAACAGCTGTTTACGGCGGACTCGATCCGGTGGGCGACACCTCGTTTGAGAGATTCAAGTCTCCGGCAGCGGATGGCATCTTTCCGGCGCTGTTACAATAGGGGGAGCAGTTTCTGCTGCCTTATCTAGTTCGGCTGCTGAGAGTGAGCCTCGCAATGGCGTATATCCCTGAAGAATGGAGGACAGCGAAGGTAGGAAGGAAAGACTACTCTTTGTCGAAATCTTTCAGGCCAATCAGTCTCAAGTCTTTCCTACTAAAAATCATGGACAATATCGTGGATCAGGAAATAAGGATAAAGGCGCCGAAGAAATCACCGCTGCATGCGGCTCAGCATGCCTACAATGCGGGCAGATCTGCCAGTACTGCTCTGTACCAGCTGACCTCTGAAATAGAGAGTTCACTGGAGCATGGGGAGGTGATGCTTTGCGCGTTCCTGGAAATCGAAGGGGCCTTTGATAACGCTTCCCACAAGAGTGTGGCCAAGGCACTGGAGAAAAGGAAACGCACCAGTGCGTACATGGAAAGAAGCCATACTGCGCACAAGAGTTGCTGAGACCACAGTAGGTGGTAGCAGAATTCGTCTCGGCACAACAAGAGGCTGCCCACAGGGGGGTGTGTTATCATCTCTGCTATGGAGTCTAGTCGTAGACGACCTTCTAACACTGCTAACAGACGATGGGATCCGCTGCCAAGGGTATGCGATATTTTACTATAATTATGGCAAAAGGCAAATATGGAGACACTCTCTGTGACTTAGTCCAAAGAGGTCTAAACCTTGCGAATGGTGGTGTCGA